CGGCTACCGGCGCCAATTGTGAGATGTGAGAGGGGTTGTGATGGGATGGGGAGAGGGTTGTGGGGGTTTGAGGGTGGGAGGGTTTGTGGGGGGGTGGGGGTTGGGAAGGGTTGTGGGGGGTTGTGAGGGGGTTGAGAGGGTTGTGAGGGGTTGGAAGGGGTTTGTGAGAGGGTTGTGGGAGGGTTTGTGAGGATTGTGTGTTGTGAGGGTTTGTGAGAGGCTTTGAGGGGTGTGGGGGTTTGTGGGGGTTTGGGAGAGGGTTGTGGGGGTTGGGGGGGGTTGTGAGAGGGTTGGGGGTTTTGTGAGGGGTTGGGGGTTGTGGGGGGTTGGAAGGGTTTGTGGGGGTTGTGAGGGTTGGGGAGAGGGTTGTGGGGGATTTGGGAGAGGGTTTGTGGGGGGGTTTGGGGGTTTGTGGGGGTTTGGGAGATGGGTTGTGAGGGGTTGTGACCAACGCACACAACCAATTACGTACATAGGCAAAGGACGTACACAGGCAATAGACGTACATAGGCAATAGACGTACACAACCAAATACATACACAACCAAATACGTAACACAACCAATACGCACACAAGCAAATACGTACACAACAAAAGAGAAACGTAAACAACCACAATACGTACACAAGCAGAAGAGATACATACACAACCAAATACGTACACAATCAAAATACGTACACAACCAAATACGTCCACAATCAAAATACGTACACAACCTATACATTCACAATCAAAATACATAATAACCAAATACGTCTGCAACCAAAAGACGTACACAACCAAATACGTAACCCCAAATATGTACACAATCAAAAGACGTACACAGGCAAAATACGTACACAACCAAATACGTCCACAATCAAAAGACGTACACAAAAAACGTACAGAGCAAAATACATACACAAAATACGTCCACAATCAAAAGACGTCCACAACCAAATACGTACACCCCCCAAAATACGTACACAATCAAAATACATACACAACCAATACGTAAACAATAGAAATACGTACACAACCAAATACGTACACCCCCCAAATACTTACACAATCAAAAGACGTACACAGCCTCCCCCCGCAGGACGGCGAGTTCGAGTGGGACGCCCCAACACAAGGGCTGATCCTCGGCTGCTTCTTCTACGGCTACCTCCTGACGAACATCGCGGGCGGGCGGGCGGCCGAGTACCTGGGCGGCAAGATCGTCTACGGCCTCGGGGGCGTGGTCACGGCCCTCCTGACGGTCGCCTCCCCCTTCTGCGCCAGGGTGTCCACGGGGCTCTTCGTCGCCGTCAGGATCCTCGAGGGAATGGCGGAGGTGAGTGGGGGATTGGGGGAGGGTGGAGGGAAGGGGAGGGAAGGGGTAGGGGGTAGGGAGGGGTGGAGGGGGGATGGGGGTTGAGGAGGGAGTGGGATGGGAGGGGGAAGGTAAGGGTAAGGGAGGGGAAAGGGAGGGGGAAGGGAGGAGTAGGGGGAAGGGGTGGGAGGGGGTAGGGGGAGGAGGTGGAGGGGAGAGGCTTGGGTTTCGGTCTTGCGTGTGTGTGTGTGTGTGTGTGTGTGTGTGTGTGTGTGTGTGTGTGTGTGTGTGTGTGTGTGTGTGTGTGTGTGTGTGTGTGTGAGAGAGAGAGAGAGAAGAGAGAGAGAGAGAGAGAGAGAGAGAGAGAGAGAGAGAGAGAGAGAGAGAGAGAGAGAAAGAGAGAGAAAAGAAGAGAAAAAAAAGAGAGAGAGAGATGTATATATGTATACACACACACAGACATATCTATGTATGTGTTCTATCCTCACCTTACCTGAGTCCTGCTGCCTTCCCCAGGGCGTGACCTTCCCGGCGATGAATTCCCTTCTGCCCTTCTGGGTCCCGCCTCACGAGAGGGCAAAGTTCACCGCCTTTGTTTATTCAGGCAAGTAATATCCAGAAATATCTTGAGGACACTCTCTCTCACTATCTCTCACTTAGAACACTCTCTGTCTATCTGTGTCTGTCCCTGTCTCTCTCTCTCTCTCTATCTATCTCTCACTCTCTCTCTTGCACACACACACTATCTCTCTCTCTCTCCTCCCCCTCTCACTCTCTATCACACCACACACTCTCTCTCTCTTCTCTCTCTCTCTCTCTCTCTCTCTCTCTCTCTCTCTCTCTATATATATATATATATATATATATATATATATATATATATATATATAATATATCCCTCCCTCTCTCTGTCTCTCTCTCTCTCTCTCTCTCTCTCACACACACACACACAGACTTCCTCACTTTTTCACGGTCCCCACCAGGAGCGCAGTTCGGCACCGTGGTGACCATGCCCCTGAGTGGTTGGCTGTGCGACATTGGCTTTCTCGGCGGTTGGCCCTCTGTGTTCTACGTGTTCGGCGTGCTTGGTGTCCTGTGGGGCATCGCGTGGTTCCTGCTGGTGAGTGACCGCCCGTCCAACCACCCGAGGATCTCCCTGGCCGAGAAAAACTACATCACGAAGCACTGCGGCGTCAGAGGCAGCAA